ACACGGTTTGTCATTGTTGAGAAGCTATTTACCTTTTGCAATAGATAATAGTATGGTTTTCAGTGACATCCGGTGATATGAACTGCTTCCACAACGTCCGATTTATCTATCCTGTCCAGTGTAGGAGAGATTTATTTAAATTAGATAACAGCCTTGAATCCATAGATTCTTCAATTTTGTCTGATGTACATTGATATATTACTAAGTATAAGAATTACTCCCGCTTTCCTCCTCTTGTTCATCCACAGCCCCTTTCCCCCACCATCAGCGCTCTGTTTGCCCGGCAGACTTTTCTAAACTAACACTGTGCTCCTCAGCTCTGTAGCTGAGCTAGCAGAGGCAAGCAACTGCCTGTACCGCTGTGGCCGCCTCGTCCAGGTACTGGAGCTCTCTCTGCCGGTGTCTTTTCTGACTGGTTTCCTGCTGTTCCTGCCTGAGCACAAGATTGCCATCTCTCCTTAACTGTGTTGTCCAGGTGATTCATCCCACTGTTTTGGGCACTTTGACCAAAACAAACATGGGCCAAGCACAGGAGAAAGATGCGTGTCCTTTCATTGAAAAACTAATCAAACATGCAGCAACTGGAACTTGAAATTGGTTCTCTTCATAGTGACTGGCTGGTTGCCAGTCATGGCCAGTGTAAGTCTAGTTTACATAGATAATTTTATAAATAGTATTTTATTAAGCTGCGTAGGATAAGAATTTTATATTGCAAGATGTCTGTCTCCATAAATGTGCAACCCACTCCTACGTAATTATAAATAGCCGTTTCTAAGGCAATGCAAACATAAAGATTGAGACTTTCAGTTCCTAGATGACAATATATAACATATGTATAATTATATTACATTTCTTTCAGAAAATCCATGTAATTATTATCCTCTGCAGCTTTAATTCAAAGTATTTTTTGAACATTTCCTAAAATGATTGGTCTAAATGGTAATTATTTTTTGAAACAACAAAAGGTTTATATACAATATTTACAGTTGTACAATAGCTGTCCAGGGTGTACCCTGCCTTTCAGCCAGAGTGATGGGGCCATATTTGATCTTCACAAAGGGTTTTTCTTTCCTGAGCACCTTGAGCTGGAAAAAAAGCAGATAACAAGATGGATGGATGGATGGATGGATGGATGGATGGA